GGAGGCCAAGGTAGGAGGATCACTTGAAGCCAGGAGTTCAAGACTAGCCTGGGAAACAAGACGCCACTCTGTCTCTACAAAAATAAAACAAAATTAGCTGGGTGCAATGACATTCAGACTGTATTTCCAGCTACTCCAGAGGCTGAGACGGGAGGATCCTGTGAGCCCAGGACTGCAGTGAGCTATAATCCTGCCACTGCATTTCAGCAGCCTAGGTGATGGAGTGAGATCATTGTCTCAAAAGAAGAAAAAAGAAAAGAAAAGGAAAAGAAAGAAAAGGAAAGAAAGAAGGAAGGAAGGGAGGGAGGGAAGGAAGGAAGGAAGGGGCAAATTCTAAAATACATATATAGGTGATTTACAATTTGGTGATTGTAAATACACACACATATATATATAATTTGGCAATAATAATCTTGGAATATACAAAAAAAAACTAAAACCGCTTCAGAAATTCGAAAAGGTAAAGTGAATGGTTTGGAGTTGGAGGAGACAACGAGATTTTTTCCTATGTACTAGATTTCCCTCTTTGAAATTTTCGATGTGAATATATTTCTTATACAAACAAGGAACAAAATAAAAAATACTATTGAACTGCTATTTAAACTATTTTTAAATTGTTCATATTGATTCATCAAGAACATGGCAAATACATTTCAACAAAGTAAGTGAAAAAGAAGTCCGTACTACACAAATATGATAAAAAGAAGATAAATCGATATAAAAGAAATGTTTAAAATTCAGGTTCTAAATATAAAAAGGCAAAATTGAACAGATGATTTTGACACATATTTTATAAAATGAGGACAATACATAGAATAAAATATTAGGTAAAATATATATATTGAAATTTGTTTATTATAGCATTTATAAGTATTATCAAAATATGGAAATGTAAATACTTGATTTTGTAAATACACTATAGAAGAAAGGTGAATCCATTGATCCAGTTAGCAAAGTCTTTCTCCAAAAATAGAGAGTAGCCAACATAAACCATAGATTTTGATCTACAGTATTACGTATCCCAAAAGTGTATATTAAAAGTACTTCCAAATAATTAGTGCAAATACAGCATAACACTAAAAAGTAATAATTATGTACAAAGTTATCAACTAAAAAAGAAATTATGAAAGAAAATTTAAGGAGACAAATTGAACTAATTATTTTTAAAGTGTTGAAAGCAAGATTATTTACGACTCACATTGTCTGAAGAGGAGGGACCCTGAGGAAGGCTGGGACTGAAGGCCATGAGGTCTGTCTTGGGTGGGCCCTCCCCAGAGCACACCCTCTGCCGCCTCTGCTGGGAGAGTGACCAGCTCCCCACCGCGCTGGAGCACACCAGAGTGGGCTTTACCAGACCACATGCACCCTCGGAGGACGGCGCTGAGCACCGCAACGCCGTGTACAGCAGCAGAGTAAGCACCAACAGACTGGACACGGAGCAGATGGCGATGATCAGGTACACGTTGACATCCATCAGTGCCACCTCTGGGCCTGCAATGCCCACCGACGCCCGCGACGATGCCTTTGGCGCCTGGGCGCTTTCCACCAGCGACACCAGCACGGTGGCTGTGGCTGTCAGCGAGGGCTCTCCATGGTCCTTCACCAGCACCAGAAGGCGGTGGCGCGGTGCGTCCGTCTCATCTAGGGCTCGGGTAGTGCTGATCTCGCCAGTGTACAGCCCCACGCGGAACGGGATGCGCGCACTGGCGGCGACAGGTTGAAATTCGTACGAAAGCCACGCGTTGTAGCCTGAGTCAGCGTCAACTGCACGTACCTTCGCCACAACATGGCCCGCGCCCACAGACCGCGGCACAAGCTCGCTCACAGCGCCACCAATGCCACCCACCCGAGGCG